CAGTGGCCAGCACCACAGGCCAGGCCCCCGATGACCTGCTCTGTCACTGTTGCCATGGCCATGCACTAGATGGTGAGAATGGCAAGTTTAGGAGCAGAAGTTGAATGGTAGCAGAACTCGTTTTATTTTTTTTATTATGTATACAGTGTTCTGTCTGCATGTTTCCTTGCAGGCCAGAAGAGAGTATCAGATCTCATTATTGATGGTCATGATGCTGGGAATTGAACTCACGACCTCTGGAAGAGCAGTCAGTGCTCTTAACCTCTGAGCCATCCATCCCAGATGGGGAGGGGAGGGGAGGGAGGGAGGGGGAGAGACAGACAGAGATGGAGACAGAGAGAGACAGGGAGACAGAGATGGACAGAGACAGAGGAGAGAGAAGGAAAAAGAAATTGCTGTGGCATGTTGTGGATGCTTTGTTTTAAAATCTCCCACATGGGCTCGGATGCATAGTTGTCTTGTTTAAGTTGGGATTTTTCTTACACATGCTTGTGTGCATGAGTACTCATATGGACTATTGAATCTTTCCAAGTGTCTTTGCACATGACTCTCCAGCTTTCCTCTCTCAACTCGGTGCTTTCATATACACTGGATATACCAAAAGGCACATCTTGCTTTTTAGAGTGAAACTGTCTAAAGGATGAGTAACAATGCCCATTCAGGCAGTCTTTAATTCATAATTATTTAGATAGGGCTGGAGGGAGTCTTAGCTATTCACAGGCTGGGGCAAGAGGCTAGCGGAGCCAGGAGTTGAAAGCTATATATACTAGGCAGAATAGTGGCAGACAGTCTGGAAAAAGTTATCTCACTGTGTCTGTCTCATCAGGTCACGGTGTTAACTTTGTCAGCCTGTTCTCTCTCCCCCCCTTCCCCCCGCCCCCAAGACAGGGTTTCTCTGTGTAGCTTTGCGCCTTTCCTGGAACTCATTCTGTAGCCCAGGCTGGCCTAGAACTCAGAGATCCGCCTGGCTCTGCCTCCCGAGTGCTAGGATTAAAGGCGTAGGCCACCACCACCCAGCTTGTCAGCCTGTTCTTGTCCATGGTTTTTGTTTGATTTTCTTTGCTTTTTTAGACAGTCTCCTGTAATCCAATCTGGCCTCAAACTTGCTATGTAGACAAGACTGGTTTTGGGCTCTAACCTCCCACTTCCCACAGGCTAGCTTTCCCCCTTCACTTTAGTGATTAAGTCAGCTGTAAAAACAAGAAGAGAACATTTCCAAAAATCCAGAAAGCCCAGGATTGTGCCTGCTTTTGGTTCAGTTCAGGATAACACTGCCCCACATTAGCAGACCATGCCACTGGGGGTGTAGCTCAGTGGCAGAGTACTTGCCTGGTGTGCACCAGACCTTGGATTCAATACCCAACACAAGGTAGGTAAATGGGGATGGTAGCACATGCCAGTAATCTCAGCCTTTACAAGGTAAAGGCAGAAAGGATCAGAAGTTCAAGGTCATATTGACTTTACCTGTTTCCTATTTTGTGTGCATTCTCGTACATGCGGTGTGGAGGCCATGGGCTGGAGGTCAGAGGCCAGCTTGAAGGAGTTGGTTCTCTCCTTCCACCCTGTGTGTCCTGGGAATAGACCAGAGTCTAAAGTATACTTTAGCATACTGAGCCATCTTACCATGTGGGCCGGATACTGACCTTAAACAAAACCGTGGGCTGGAGCAATGGCTTGGTAGTTAAGAATCCTGGCTGCTCTTCCAGAGGACTCTGGTTCCTGGCACCCACACGAAGGCTTACAACTGTCTGTAACTCCAGTCCAAGGCTATGTATGAGATACCCTCTTCTGACCTCCATGGGCACCAGGCACATGTGGGACACATACATACATGCAGACAAAATACCCATACATGGCATAAAAATAAACCTTTAAAAATGCTTTAAAAAACAAAGAATGTCTCAACTTCTGTGGGAGGCCAGCTCCCACCTTTTAAAGTTCCTATGAGGAGGAGAGAGGAATAAGAAACTTTTCAAATAGAAAGATAGTAAAGAAGAGACAGACAGAAACAAGGATAGCTTCGGGAGGACCTGGATCAAAATCCACCGACCCTGTCTGGCTCTTCAAAAGGACTTTTTATAACAATGCCAAGGTGTGGGGCAAAAGACCTCTCCTTGCATGATCAAAGCACACTGTACAGCCAAGTGCAGACCCTTCCAAACACCTGGTAACCACGCCTGTGGTCAAATCATCCCCTTATACAGCCCTGCTGGGTAAAGCAAGCTCAGATCTCATTAGGAAACCTCTGTGGGTCTCCACAAACTTCTGAGAAATACCAAAATAAATAAATAAATAAATAAATAAATAAATAAATAAATAAATAAATAAATAAATAAAGTTCCACCAAGACTTACCAACTGGTAATTATACTTGTTAGTCTTCCATTTACACACCTTGTTTAACCCAGAAAACCCAAAATGATCTAAATGTTGCTTATTTCGTTATCCTTTTGTCAATGCAGTTTTTTTTTTTTAATCAAGAGTCTTTTGCCCCTGATGTCACTGCATTGAAACAATCTACTGGACTCAGGGATCACTTGCCTTTATAAAGGAAGGGAAGAATGTACGTGAAACCTGAGGTCTCAAAATACCCTCACTGAAAGACCTCAGGGCCCTGGTGTGGTGGTACACAACTTTAATCCCAGCACTCAGGAGGCAGAGGCAGGCAGATCTCTTCTTAGTTAAGTCCATCCTGGTCTACAGAGCAAGATCCAGGACAGCCTGGGCTATACAGAGAAACTGTCTCAAAAAACCAAATAAGTAAATAAATTTTATAGACTTTCTATGATTATGATATATTCATGTTTTTTCTTGAATAAATCCCTCCCTTTTTCTTGTTTTTTCTCATTTTATAATTTTCTTCTAATCTCTTTATAATGTAAACATTTAATTAATAGGATTTTCTCAAGTCCTTTTTAAAGTATTTAAAAATAACTTGCCGGGCGGTGGTGGCGCACGCCTTTAATCCCAGCACTCGGGAGGCAGAGGCAGGCGGATCTCTGTGAGTTTGAGGCCAGCCTGGGCTACCAAGTGAGTTTCAGGAAAGGCACAAAGCTACACAGAGAAACCCTGTCTCGAAAAAAATAAATAAATAAATAACTTTACCACTCCTATCCAAATGCTTTACTTAACCCACTTCTTCCTTCCCAAAGCCAAGATGAAATGTTGAGACTGTGAGACCCAGCAACCCTCTCTAGACTTCTTGTGTTTTGTCAAAAGAATTTAGAAATTTTATCCCCATTGCAGTCTTAATCTTTATTATAAATTTGAAGTTATAAACCTGTCTTTTAGATTTAACTATTGTTTAGTTTCTATATATGTATTAAGTCCAAAGAAATCCCTTTCCCCAAAGCCTGGCATTTAGACAAAAGGCAGCATTCCCTCAGGCACTTAAGAAGATAGTTCCTGCTTGCTAAAAGGAGTCATCTCCTCAGCCTGGCAAAAGTGACATCAGCTCTTCCATTTACCCATGCCTGTGGTGCCTATCACCGTATCAGGGTCTGTGCTAGCCCCTGGACTCCCTCATTCCCTACTGTCAAGTGTCTCTTACAGAGTCGTCCTGGCTGGCATGCCCCACCCCTACCCTAAACCTCTCCCTCTCCCAGCTTCCTTTTCCTATTTATTTATTTATTTACTTATTTATTTATTTATTTATTTATTTTATTTATTTATTGGTTTTTATATGATAGGATGAAGGGGTAGATTAATGAACCTACTTTTTTTTTTTTTTTGCCCTTTCCTATTCAGCTCAATCATTTGGCTACTTTCCATCTTGGCTTTCCCCTTGGCTCTCCTCTGGGTCCTCAGCTCCTCTCTTCAACTCTGTGTCCCCTCCCTCTCCTCTCATGGCCCTTTATTCTACTGGCCATGTTCAGTCTGGACTCTTTCAGATGCCTCTGGCTGTACTCTCCCTCATCTCCCTCATATCCACACAAAAGCCTTCTCAACTATACCTAGGAGTGGTCATGTCCTCATCTTCATTGAAATGGCACCTGCATATTCTCTTTTAATTCTGTACCCTCATCAGTGCTCCCATCCAGAATTTACATATCAACAATAAGGGCAAAACCTCCCACACAAAAATTTAAAGATTGAGCAAGTAGTTTGCAGGGAAGAAAAAGAAAAAAAAAACACCAGGAGGCAACAGACTGAAAAGTTGCTTGACCTGATAGTAAGCAAGCAGACAGCTGCAAACAGGCTAGGATCTGCTGCCCCAAAGGACAAGATTGAAGGGTAGCCCAGGCCCAGAGCCAGAAGCATACCACGGGCAGACCCCTTCACCCTGCAGCTAGTACACCTGCGGGGCTTTTAGTTTGGAGTCTAACTTTTTTAAGCTTTGTTTTTATTTTTAATTATGTGTGTATGGGGGGAAGGTGGGTATGTGCCTGTGCCTGCAGAGTCCAGAAAACGGTGCAGGATGCCCTGGAGCTGGACCTACAGTTGATTGGGAGCCTGAATGGTAGGCCTGGGTCCTCTGAAAGAGCAGTACAGCCATCTCTCCAGACCACAGTCTTTTTAACTCTAGGATGTCATTTTCCAGGGCTTAAGCGAACATCCTGTAAGCACTTGTACTAATTCTAGACAGACTCTTCCTCACCAAACTAAGTGACAAGACGAATATAGTAGAAATAGAAATGTAGTTATTTCTATCAAACTTTTTAAAGTGTGTGAAAACATAGAATGACATAGAAAAGCCACATGTCGTGGATGAAGGATCGGGATCCGGAAAAAAGGGAGGACGCTTTCCTACAGGCACACATAGAAGGCAGGATATAAGGACATCCTCAAACCCTGTAAACCAGGGTTCCTTCCTTTGGACCAAGACTAAGGTGCATAATGTCCGTCCTCCTCCGTGGGCGTGGCCTGAGCCGGCTTTGTCTAATAGGAGTGGTCAGGGGCGGGGCGCTTCCTCTGTACATCTTCTAGCTTAGGAGAAAAGCAGCCCAGACTTTGCGTCCTCTCATTGGTCAGGGAAGAAACCAATCGCGGCGAGTCTTGTTAGAGTCATCGCCCTAGCAACGCAAGGAGCCGCTTGGGAAAGATCCCGCCTGAGGTTCTCGTCTCTGCTTCCACACAAGGTGCAGGAGGCTGCCCAGGAGCTGTGGCGTGCAGAGATGGACTGCGACTTAACTACGAGCCCTGGATATCCTCCCGCCAGTGCGTCCTCACCCTGAGCAAGCCCCTGGCCCGCTGCCACGCCAGTCTAACCCCTCCCACCTCCAAACCCCACTCAGCCCACTAACGAAGCTGTCCTTGCTTGTGCCCACAGCTTCCAAGGGCCAGATGATGGAGGAGCGTGCCAACCTGATGCACATGATGAAACTCAGCATTAAGGTCTTACTCCAGTCTGCCCTTAGCCTGGGACGCAGTCTGGATGCAGACCACGCCCCCTTGCAGCAGTTCTTTGTAGTGATGGAGCATTGCCTCAAACATGGGCTGAAAGGTGAGCCGGGGGCGTTTAGGAACATAGAAATGTGAGCTAAGTCTTTGCCCTGGCTAGTGCCAAGCATTGTGGTGGGTGTAGAGAGGAGAGCAGCACACAGAACAGACAAATTCCCTGTGATCGAGAGCAGTGCTGTCCCGTACAAACGGCACTGCAAGCCGCAGAGGCCATTCTTAGTCCTCTGGTAGGCACTTTCTAATAGTGAGGTTTAAAATCTGCCATGTTTCACATCGCCAGCACATGTCCGGTTCCGCGGCTGCACTAGCCACGCTGCAGGGGCACCACTAGTAACACGTGTGGCTGTCAGTGGCCTCGGGGAACACAGAAGCAGAATTACAAACCGCTACCGATTCGGGGGAGCAAAACAAGTGAGGTGGTAGAGGTGAAGACAGGGAACGTACAGGTGCAAGAAGAAAAGTTCTTTCTGAAGGGGTGACACGTGAGCTGAGACCTAAGGCAGAGAGAACGCTGCGGAGATCTGGGCCCACAACTTCCCCAGCACAAGAGACAAAACCAAACAGAGGCAAAGGTGCAGATGCCCTGAGCGGATCAACCTTGGCTGGAGGCAGACGCCTGGTAACCAGGGAGTGTGGAGTGAAAGAATGGGAGGTGAGACCCAGGAAGTGGGGAGGGGCTGGATCATGCAGGCCTTAAGAGGTCATGACAGGGAACGGTATTTTCTTCTCAGTGGGTTTGAGGGAGAAATGTGATTTGGTTTGCATCTTTAAAAAAAGAAAAGAAAAAAACTTCCCAAATCGAGAACAAGTTATAAGGGTAAGGAATGAAGATATTAGGATAAGCAGTTCGGTCACTGTGGCAGTTCAGTAGGGAAGTGGCTGTGACCGTTAGGATTTGATCACTGATGCTGCCACCAGGACAGCGGTGGCAAGATGTGGCAGATTTCAGTTCATAAGCAGCAAGTTCCTGAAGAACAGATCATGATAACAGAGAAACCACGCTGTCAAAGGGAAGCAGAGCTGATTTGTCCCGTGGCCTCTCCTAGTCCGAAAGGCTGGGTCACAGACTTGAGCGTGGAGCTGTGGAGCTGCGCTTGACCTTTGGAAGGAAGCCTGTGGGCCCCAGAAGAAACTGCACCCTGTTCTCATGACTAACACTGTTGTTTTCTCTTTTAGTTAAGAAGAGTTTCATTGGCCAAAACAAATCTTTCTTTGGTCCGTTGGAGCTGGTGGAAAAACTTTGTCCTGAAGCATCAGATATAGCCACCAGTGTCAGGAATCTTCCGGAATTAAAGTAAGAAGTGCTAATGCTGCCTGAATGTTTGCTTTTTACTCAATGCCGTTTGCCTCCCCTCGGTTCTTTTCTGATTTGGAACACTGTAACAGGATCCACGCTCGGCTTGGATTCTAATCCTGCCTCTGCTGCTCATGGTTCACATGACCTTAAGTAAGATGTGCACGCTCGGCTTGGATTCTAATCCTGCCTCTGCTGCTCATGGTTCACATGACCTTAAGTAAGATGTGAACCTTCCTGGGCCTCAGACTCCTGCTCTTGAGTGTGAAGGCAGCGGTTGCCTCATGGTTCACATGGTTTAAATCTGTTGTTGGGGCTGCGGGTGTGACTCAGCGGTTAAGAGTGCTTGTTGCTCTTGCAGAGGACTGGAGTTTTGTTTCCAGCACCCACATCAGGTGGAGCATGGGAATCAGGGAACTTGCAGTTGTGTCTCCAGCCCAGTGTGGTACATCTTACGACGTATTTTAGCACAAATATCAATTGCATATATGAGCCTGTGCCTCAGAATCTTGTGAGACTTGAACACTTGAAGTGCTTGTGGTGCAAAATTCAAAAAGTACCTAACTTGTACAGTGAGCATTCTCTCTGCTCACACAGTACCTACCTCTCTAACCCCTAAACTACCATGTGACCCCCCCACCTGTCTGTGTGTGTGTGTGTGTGTGTGTGTGTGTGTGTGTGTGTGTACACCCCTCCCCCAGCTCATTTTAGTTTCTTCTGTATTTGTTGCTGTTATTATGCCTTAGTGGTCTGATTCTCTGAATTCTAGGACAGCCGTGGGAAGAGGCAGAGCTTGGCTTTATCTTGCTCTCATGCAGAAGAAACTGGCAGATTATCTGAAAGTCCTCATCGACAATAAGCATCTCTTAAGGTACCCATCATTGTGTTTGTCTTGTACTCTGTAGTTGCCGAACCGTCTGTAGATCCTTGTGAAATAGAGGAACTCGGATATTCATAGCTAAGATCGAAATCACTACTAATCTCAATGCTCTGAGGCTTGAAGTGTTTCTTTGTTGAGCCCTGACATCTCAGAAGCATTGTAAACGAGACTCTCATTGTAAATGAGACTTCATTTTGAAATTCTGAAGATAATCTCCCAAAATATCAATACTTATAATTTACTGACTGGCAGCCCATTCAATTAAGTTTCAATAAAATGGTACTTATTAGACTTGATGATAACAGGAATAAAATAACTTTTGAACTGGGGACTGTGGGTGATTTTTTTTTTTTTTGTAAGAGAACATAGGTACATAATCTAGCTGAAGATTTCATATCCAGTTTGTAAAATGTATGTTTCTTAGCATTAGTAAAAACTTAAGGGCTGGAGAGTTGGCTCAGCAGTTAAGAGCATTGGCTGTTCTTCTAAAGGTCCTGAGTTCAATTCCTAGCAACCACATGGTGGCTTACAACCATCTGTAATGGGATCTGATGCCCTCTTCTGGCATGCAAGCATACATGCAGATAGAGCACCATATATATAAAATAAATAAAACTTTAAAAATTATTTTTTTGTTGCCGGGCGTGGTGGCGTACACCTTTAATCCCAGCACCTGGGAGGCAGAGCTAGGCAAATCTCTATGAGTTTGAGGCCAGTTGCTCTACAGAGTGAGTTCCAGGATAGGCTCCAAAGCTACACAGAGAAACCCTGTCTAGAAAAAAAAAAAAAAAATTATTTTAAAAAATCTTAAATAGTGGCTATTACTGAAATTTTTGACTGACTCATTTTTTTAATTTAATTTTTTTATTTTATAATTTAATTTAATTTTACATATCAGCCACGGATTCCCCTGTTCTCCCCCCTCCCGCCCGACTGACTCATTCCTTATATTTATGGCTGTATAAACAAGTAGCCATTATAAACGGGATTTTCTCTAGACTGAAAATTGATATGGCAGAAATCTCTAGAGTTAATTCTCTTATCCAGTTCAGATAAAAATATCCTTTATATCTTGGCCTAGACCCAGATATTTCAGAATTTAAATCAGCCTCAGGAGTTCAGGGATTAAAGGTGTGCAACACACACACACACACACACACACACACACACACACACACTCCAGTTGGTTCCAGAGATCAACACAGGTTGTCAGGCTGTTGGCAGGTGCCTTTGTGAACTGCCACCTCCCAGGCCAGCCCTGGTGACCTCATGTTTGAGATAGAAGTTCCATGTACAGAGAGGAGCCAGTGAAGACACAGGAACACGAAGCAGAAAGACAGGAAGACCGTGGCCAAGAGTGGATGAGAAGGACTGAGATCCAGAGCGAAGCAGAGGAGCCTGGGAGGCAGCTTGGCAGCTTTCTGTTGCTGTCATAAAACCTGAGAGAATCGGATTTGAATCAGCCAGAGCGGTGTCTCAGTATCTAAACGGCTTGCTGTGCAGGCGTGAGGTTCAATCCCCAGCACCTCCACTACAAAACTGGATTTGGAAACTGTAGTTCATGCAGAGAAAATATCATACAGACACATAGAAAAAAATGATATTAAAGTTAGACATCTGAGGAACAGCATCTGAGGCACCGGAGGTTGACCTCTGACATGCACACACATATGCATGCACAGCTACCACATACATGGTTCCTCGAAAACACATGTACATCTATGAAAGAAGAAGAAACGGTTTGTTTGGCTCACAGTTTAGTCCATAGCTGGTCCTCTTGCTTTGTGCCTGTGGCAAGGCAGCAGATTGTGAGGGAGGCATTTGGTAGGGAGACTAAAAACCGCTGGCTTCCTGGTCACAGAGAGGGAGAGGAAAAGGAAAAGGTCGCACCCTCCTTCAGAGCACACCTCTAGACCTAACGACCTCTCAGTTGGCCCCACTTATGGTTTTAGCAGCATCAAACTGGGGAGCAGCTGTGCCACATGGGCCTTTGGAGACGCTTAGGATCCAACCACAGCAGAAGAGGAAGCGCTCGAGGTGGTGGGAAGAAGGAAACTCCCTGAGGGCCTTTGCTCCAGGGTGGGGCTGGAAGCCAGGTGGCAGCCAGGCAGGCCAGGGCAGGACGGGTGGGTGAGGAGTGACGTGTCTCTCAGCAGCTCCCTGACATGTCAGTCTCTCGCAGTGAGTTCTATGAGCCCGAGGCACTAATGATGGAGGAAGAGGGCATGGTGATTGTCGGTCTGCTGGTGGGACTCAATGTTCTGGATGCCAATCTCTGCTTAAAGGGAGAAGACTTGGACTCTCAGGTAATATGGGGTTTGGGCTTTGGTGGAATGAATCAGGCCAGGGATTTTTTTGCATGAAATCTGCAGACATGCACTGAACCTAAGAAAGGGGCAGAAGGCAGGAGGCCTTGGTAGAGGTTGGGCAGACTGCGGTGCTGGGGAGATGGGGAGGGGTTGTCTCGGAAGAGTGAAGAGGTAACGTGGGCAGAGGTGGGGACGTGGCTCAGTTGGCAGAGTGCTTGCGGAGCATACACCAGGCCTTAGGTTTGGTTCCTAACTCCACGTAAACCAGGCATGGTGGTGCCTGCCTGTAATCCCGGCACAGGAGGTCATCCTCAGTACATAGCCAAGTTCAAGGCCAGTGTGTGATACATGAAACCATGTCTCAAAAAAAGTAAGAGATGGGACTGGAGAGATGGCTCACTGGCTAAAAGCACTGGTTGCTCTTCCAGAGAACCAGGTTTAGTTCCCAGCACCCACATAGCCACTAACAACTAACTCCAGTTCCAGGGGAGCCAACGCCCTCTTCTGGCTTCCACAGGCACTGCATGTGATATACAAGATATACAAGCAGGCACAACAACCATTCACATCAAATAAATATAAATATCGCCCCCCCCCACCGATAGATTTTTTTCAAAGAGAGAGAGAGAATAAACTAAACTTTACATTGTATCATTTTTTTTTAAATAAAGAGAGGCTGGGAGTAGTGGTGTAGGCCTTTAATACCAGCACTGGGGACGCAGAGGGAAGGTGGATCTCTGTAAGTGCCAGGCAAGCCTGATCTAGTGAGTTTGGGGCCAGCAAGGTAGTGAGACCCTCCTCAAAAAAAGGTGAGCCCGCCGCCTGCTCTCAAGAGCCTCACTGGCTTCTGAGCACCTCTTTCTAATCCTTAGACTGAAGCCTGTATAACATACCTTTAATAAAATAGTTGGCTCTGCCCAAAGAATCAAACAGAAGACACCCAGCGTCAACCTGGGGCCCTGAATCCATACACACTAACGTGCACACACCACAGACAACAGCTTACACACATACACACACACACACACACACACACACACACACACACACACAAAATGAATAAAAATAAAAGTCCTGTTCTAAGCTGGGCAGAGTAGCACATACTTAGAAGCAAGGTACTTGGGGGATCAAGGCAGGAGAGTTGCAAGATTGAGGACAGGCTGGACCATTTAGTGAGACTTTGGTCTCCAAAAATGTAGAGGTAGATCGGTAGATAAAGAGATAGACAGACAGATGGATATCTCTAGGAAAGGTAAATGTATATACTGTTTTATTTTCGCTTTCTAATTTACTTTGTGTTTTTATTAGAAGTGGACTTTGAACGCCATCAGATGTCTTGTTTGGTTGGCACCTGACTTAAACAGAACAGTTAATGTATGACTTTCCCATAACAGTACTTCTGCTGTGTTCCTAAAATAAGGCCTACTTGGTCCTTGTGTCATTTCCTGTACCCCCAAATCATGTGTTTCTGCTTAACATGTGAAACTGTTCTGAGTTTCCCGTGGGCCTTTGCCTCCTCCCGGGATTATACTCCCTCATAGGGTCACCCTCCTGTTCTCTAGTACACTTCAGCAGAACACAAAGTTGGCTCTTTACTTGTTGAAAGTTTGTATTCCCTTAAAAAAAAAAATCGTGTGTGTGTGTGTGTGTGTGTGTGTGTGTGTGTGTGTGTGTATTCCTAAATACATAAGTACAACCTGCTCAGTCTGTATAAAGTTACTTGTATGTGTGTTTTGAGGGCTGATCATTTAGTGTTAGATAACCAACTGGTATGCTCTTCCCTGAGGAAGACTTTCTCCAGATCTCAGTGTTCCTTAGTTGCCTGCAGTTCTTTGTGTAGGCTGAAGCCTCATGGGCTTCCCCCTCTTCATAACCCCCATGCTCATTAGCATGTCTGTTATTGTTGTCCTTGTTCAGCTCATGTTGAGGCTGTCACGTTGATGAGACTTCTTAAGTAGAGCTCCAGACATTCTGAGGAGACACAACCTCACAGCAAACTCCCCACTTCTCTGACTCTTTTTTTGTTTTGTTTTGTTTTGTTTTTCGAGACAGGGTTTCTCTGTGTAGCTTTGCACCTTTCCTGGAACTCACTCTGTAGACCAGGCTGGCCTCGAACTCACAAAGATCCGCCTGGCTCTGCCTCTCGAGTGCTGGGATTAAAGGTGTGAGCCACCACCGCCTGGCTTTCTCTGACTCTTTTTTTTTTTTTAAAGATTTATTTGTTTTATATATATAGTGTTCTGCCTGCAGGTCAGAAGAGAGCACCAGATCTCATTATAGATGGTTGTGAGCCACCATGTGGTTGCTGGGAATTGAACTCATGGCCTCTGGATAAGCAACTGGTGCTCTTAACCTCTGAGCCATCTCTCCTGCCCTCTCTGACTCTTAAAATCCTTCTGTCCCCTCTTTGGCAATGATCCCTGAGCCTTAGGGTAGGAGTTGTATTACAGATGTGTCCGTTGGGCCTGGGCTCCACAGCTCTACATTTTGATTGTTTGTTGTTTTCTGTAATGGTCTCCAGTTGTTGCAAAGAGAAGTGTTCTTTAATGAGGGTAAGGACTACACTCATCTGTGGGTATAAGGATAAATAGTTAGAATGTAGTTCAGTGTTAATGCTGGTTTAGTAAAGTGGTGGTTGTAGGTTCCTCTCAAAAATCCACGACTTCCCTAGCTCTGGCCGAGGCAGGCGGATCTCTGTGAGTTCGAGGACAGCCTAGTGTACAGACTGAGTTCCAGGACAGGCTCCAAAGCTGCACAGAGAAACCCTCCTGCCTCAAAACCAAAAAAAAAAAAAAGAAAAAAAAAAAGAAAGAAAGAAAGAAAGAAAGAAAGAAAGAAAGAAAGAAAGAAAGAAAAAATTAAAATAAAAGTATAAAAGTATTTTTGTACCCCAAAACCTTTGTCCTTCGTTGCTTTATAAATAATAAAATATAAATAAATAAAATATGAAAATAAAAAATCCTCCTTTGATAGATCTACCAGACTGAAACTTAACAAAGAAATAAAGGACCTAACAGATGTTATGACTCAAATGGACCTAACAGATATCTACAGAATATTCCATCCTAACACAAAAGAATATACCTTCTTCTCAGCACCCCATGGAACCTTCTCAAAAATTGACCACATGCTTGGAC